GGGTAAGAAATCCTAGCCCAGCCTAAGGAACTTCTGGGAACTGATGACTGCTGAGATGGAGAGAGACAGTGTCTTACAGGGTCCAGTGAGTAGACCCACACTGAAGGACATTTGGGGACACAGATCAGACTCTACAGGCCATATTACATATATAAGAGGGTACATTAAATTGGGTGGGGTGGTTTCTGGGGGAAAATGTGGATAGGGGAGGGGATCTAAATACCACCAAAGAATACTGCATGAAAACTGCAAACATTCAGTAAAAGTAAATCAACACAACTTTTTGAAAAGCAGATAACCAAACCAATTATACACTATTGTGATTCTAGAATATAAAAATTACTTCCCCTCCTTCTCCTGTGATTCTGAGAATTGATATATCTGAAAGAGACATTTCAGTAAAGAGGGCACAGTATTTAGAATCACAGCTCTAGAATTTCAGCAACAGATCTATAATATGCCAGTGAAGTAAAATGAAAGTTAATAAATTTCCTGAGCTAAAGAACAACTTAAAATAAAATGATGAGTCAATCACAGAATTGTCATTAAAATTTAAAGAAATATTTTACAAATGACGGAATGCAGGAGCAAAAGCTGCAGCCCAACCAAGGAGGCTAGAAATCCACAGCGTCTTGAGCTGTTGCAACTGGGAACACTTCAGTCTTTAGTGCTGCAACACTGAGGTGGAGGTTATGAAAATTCCCATCATAGAAAGGAAATAAGCATGTATGTCTGCTTGACTGGGATCAGGACACAGTGAAAGCTCACATAATGGCTTAAAAAACCTGCCACAAAACCATGTAAGACCAGAGAATCAAACTTAGAAGAGTCTAAACATCTGAACGAACTGAGAAAAAGCAGGTGACGAACAGGAAGCCAGAGCTTTGGAACATGTGAGTTGAAGGAAGGTACAGGCATGTTTTAAGTGACTAAAAACACCAAGGTAGGGGCTGGAGAGATGGCTTCTTTAGAGTCCTCTTGCAGAGGACCCAAGTTTCATGCCCAGGACCCATGTCAGGTGGCTTACAACCACCTGTAACTCATGCTCCAGGGGATCTGATGTTCTCTTCTGAACACCACTAACATCTGCATGCACACGTATGTGCATCCACTGGTGCATGTACAGATGCCACAATTAAAAATTATAGAAATAAATTAATTTTTAAAAAACATGAAAGAAGAATTGAAGGCCAAGGAAAACATTGCATTTAAAAAGTAAATTCTAAAAGTATAAATAAAACTGCTAGAAAAACATATACATATACAGACACCAAAAATTGGGCCCCAGCTATCTCAAATAGCAATAAATAAGATTATTAGTAAACTTTTAAGTAAAGAATTGTCACCTAGGATAGAAATAGAAAAGGTGGCTAACTTGAAGAAAGTTTTTAGTTTGTGGTTTTTTAATGCTGGGGATCACACCCACACCTAGAACAGTGTTCGCTTGTCAAGAATATCATCACTGAGCCACATCAGTAGCTTCATTTCTCAGTGTTAAAATTCAATTTCTTAACACTTTGAAGTTTATAGTGGTCTCTTCTTATCTACAGAGCATGTGTTCCAAGATTCTCTGAAACTGATAGTGCTGAAACTTATAAATGCTGTTTGCTCCATAGTCATACATAATGATGATAAAGTTTAATCTGTAAATTAGGCATAGTAGAAAACAACAATAAAAAATGACAAATTAGAAAAGTCACAACCACCCACTATACACAAGTTATGAGAACGCCATTTCAAAATACCTTATTCTCCCTGTTGTAAGAACATGCGAGAGGCGCTTATACCCTTCTGCAATCATGAACTCACCCCTTTTAACTGGATCTAGGTAAACTTTCATCTGTTTTCTCTGTATAGGTTTTCCTGTCCTGAACAGTTCACACAAGTGCAATCATACAATATATGATCTTTTTTAACTCGCTTTTTTCTCTAAGCATAAGATCTTCAAGACTCATCGATCCACTTTGTAGCATTTATCAGTACCTTTTCTTCTTTCAGCAGTGACTGAAGGCAGGGCCTTGTGCATACTAGGAGAGTACTCCACAGCTGAGCTCTATCCGCAGTATAGCTATCAGTACTTCATTCTTTCATAGAAGAGAACAATAATCTCTTGCACATATTGACCACATTTATCCATTCATCAATGAATACATTCAGGTTTTCTATTCCTGTTATCTACTATTAACAATGCTGCTGTGAACATTACCTTAATATTATCTGTTGTGTACAGTCTCAAGTAAGCCAGAGAACAAGTTTAGGCTTCTCCATTTCTTATGTGAGTATGCACACACTATGAATTCATGTGTCCTCTATATTCCCAAGTGGCTATCTCATTCCTCAAGTTTCCCTGAAAACTGCTCAGTTAATATGTTGTTTGGTCTGAGTATATTACCACAGATAGCTGGGAAGTTAAAATGCTCATCTGTCATTGTTCTCAACAGTCCATCTCTCTACCCCTCCGGGATAAAATCTGCTCACACAGAGTCATATCTTTAACTTTGTGAATGAGACTTTACCCTGATTACAGTGGCATTATTCCTCTTAGGCATAATAATTAAAATAATCCAAGTAGCCATAAACAGATTATTAGACCAACACGATGAGATACATACTCGCCAAATTTTACTTTTCAAAGTTAAAAATTATGGATATAAATTATATCTTAATTTTTAAAAAAGTTTATAAGACAGGGTTTGTGGAGCCCAGGTGGTCTTGAACTTGCTATGTAGCTGAGGGCTTCCTTGAACTCCTGATCTTCCTGCCTTGGATTCTCAAGTACTAGGATCACAGGCATGAGCCACCACTCCTCATTTCTATATCAATTTTTAAAAGTTCAAATACCTAACCAAATCTGATCCTATCCAGTTATGCCATTAATATACAGTCAATTATAAAACAATAAAAGTTGTAGCCTTTCTTCTGAAGGAATAGACCAAAGTTAAACTATATGGTACTGATTTTTAATGAAAACTAAGGCAACTAATTTTTATAAATTTACTAACAAAAAATCATTGATGAATGAGAAACCACCCACAGTCCTGCCATATATCTGGAACATTTGGTATGGCCTTCATATAAGCTATTCAAGGAATAAAGTCAAAAAACAATTCTTCTTTTATGACTGGTATAAAAATAATTCTCTCAGTGGTTAAGAGCACTGGCTGCTCTTGTAAAGGACCCAGGTTCAATTCCCAGCACCCACATCACCGTTAACAAGCCTCCATAACTCCAGTTCCAGAGGAATGCAATGTTCTCTTCTGATCTTGGTAGGCATTGCATGACATGGGTGCACTTGAATACATGCAGACAATACTCTTTTACACACACACACACACACACACACACACACACATACACACACATACAAATTTTTTAAAATCCTCTATAATTAAATATTTCTAAGTATCATTTGAATCAAAACTCAAAATCATTTGAATTAGAGAATACAAACATAATATAAAATTATGTGAAAGTGGTTTACAATTTTCTTTTAATATAGTGAATTTAAATCTTAAATCAAAACATCGTAAGTACAACGAATTGCTTCATGTAAAAGCAAATACTTGAAAATGGAAATGTAAGGAGTAATCTTTTTTTTTTTTGCTTTAATTACTAAGAATAAGGTATTCCTAAAGATTACTGGAGAAAACTCTACTTGAATAAAAGAAATATAGATTATTAGAGCACATTAATATATTTCTACACAATCTTCACATTTTATACTGGTACTTCTAATAACAAATGAAAGAATAACATAATTTAAATAATGGTAAACTCAAAATTTTAATAAAGAAAAATCAGAAAGCCAAATGCATTTATGAAGACTGTTCTTCAAAATAAAGGGACAGCACATAGAGAACACAAAAATGTTTAAAAACAAACAACAAAGCAAAAAAGAAATGCTAGTAAAGTGTCTTTTTCATTTGGAGTGCTGTCTCCCAGTGGTTACTCCTTATTATGGACCATATTAAGGAGGCTGAACAATTAGACCACTAGTGTAATAATATAGTTGAGAGCTTCTAAACCTTTTTCCACTGGTGACTCCTTTGCCTAAGACATTTTTACATAACTGTGGATATATATACATATATATGATATACAAGTCAAGCATTTACTGACTATTATCAGATATATAGAAATTGATTTTACATTATTTAATATACACATACTACCATTTATTAAAGATAAAAGAAAATATGCATAAAAATGAAATAGATATTTATTTTTGCATAAAGAATTAAGTATTGGGTGGTTATTTGATAATGCAAGTATGGAACATCTTCAGTGTTTTCAAAGTGATAGATATTTTGATTTTATCATTGTTAATACTAACATGGTGCTTTATATAAATGTACAATATAAGATGACAGAAGTATGTTTATTTGGCATTATTTCAGAAATTGTTGGAAATTATATTCTAATTCAAAGTCAAAATTCATTTACTAGTTTGTTATGAAACTCTAACAGTAATTTTAAAAATCAAATATTCTAACACAATACATCCAAAGACATCCTCATTTGAATCTCAGAAGCTGAATATCAATGATGTGAATATATTAAAAACTTCTGATTCTTGTAAAAAAAAGCACTGTTTTTCTATAAGAAAACTATGTATGCGCAGCAAGACCACTTTTATTGATAACATACAACAGTCACGATCCTGCGTTGAAGTGTTTCAGGCCATGTTCACTGTTGTTGCAGCAGTGACAGCATGCACAGTGCAAACTGCATGTGTTGCATGTTCAGAACCAAGGCTGCAGTGAGAGCTGCCAGAAACACCTCAGATTCATTATGCATTGGATTTTGAGGTAATTCTTGGTGACTGCACATTCAGACACATTTTGAAACATAGTTTAAGAAGATGGAATCTAGATTAATACCTCATATTTATTGTTTATCTCATACATGTCTAACACACATATGAACTAAGAACCATGTAAAATAAAATACCCATACATTTAACATACTCTGCTTTAATTTAGATTTAAAGTGCTCTTTACCTTGATTGTCTGTCTACTTGTCTGAAATCGTTGATCAGATACTTGTTGTTGATGGAGAAGCTTTTCATTGACTTCTTTGTATTCTTTAACAGACAATTCTGCTGATTTTCTGGCATTTTGAAGCATACTGTTTTGTTGCTGCAAGGATATAATGCGCTCTCGTAATAAAATAGTACTGCTGCTTGATTTCTGGGCAGGAATATTTTTGTGCTTTTCTCTGCTAACTAAATAAAAACATTATTGCCTATAATATTTTGAAAATGAAATTACATTTATAAAGACACTAATAATTTCATATTATATTCTTACCTCTGATTGGAACTACTGTATATGAGCTCTTTTGCATATTACCATACTTCTTCTGATTTTTTTTTTTGGTATTCTTATAATGAGAAATATCCTAAATATGGAATGAGAAAAATGGAGTTATTATGTGATGACAATGTCAAATGAATTTGCATAATGTCACTTAAAATACGTTTATTTATATAGAAAAAGAAAACGATTAGACAACAAAATTTTATAAATGATTCATCAATTACAGATCTCACAAATTTGAATTTATATTTTAATAAGTACAATATATTTTAAATTGATCTAACAAGCAGAAGATATAGACACAAAATAAATTGAAAAGAAGTAGAATTTAAGCAAAGGACAGATTAAAAATTAGGAGTAAATAAAGCAATACAAGCAAAATGCAGTGGGGCTAGAGAGATGGCTCAGTGGTTAAGAGCACTGACTGCTCTTGCAGAAGACCCAGGTTCAGTTCCCAGCACCCACGTGGCAGCTAACAACCATCTGTAGCTCCAGCTCCAGTGGATCCAATGCCCTCTTCTGACCTCTGCAGGCACTGCACAACACAGGTGCACTTACTTACATGCAAGCAATACACTAATATACATAAAATAATAAAAATATTTAAAAAGTAAAATGTAGTGATGCATTATCTGAGAGTTTCCATGATTTTCTCAGATACTTTTCCTGAACAAATATAGACTTGATACACTAACAACAAATAAAGGTAAAATAAATTCAGTGCTAATAACTATTCTATAAGGCCAGAATTGTCCTCATAATATTTCAAAATATGAAGACAAATTTTAAAATAGCCATAATGTTTATCTTTGTTCCTAATTATTTCACCAAATTAAAAATGCTTTCATATTGGGAATGGTGGCTCACATCTAGGAGGTTAAGGCAAGAGGATTACTGCAAGCTTGATGTCAGCCTGGGTGACATGGTGAGCTATCAGCCTGGGCTATAGACCCTGCCTCAAAATACATACATACATACATACATACATACATACATACATAAAAAATAAGGCTTTTGCAAAGAAAAATTTTCCATAGAAATATGTAACAAATGATTATAAATCATAGAAAAAATGGTTTTGTTTGTTTAATAATTTAAAGGTAAGAAACAAGAATATATTCAAACCTAGAATTTACTTTTCTTATTTATTTGAGAATTTCATACATGCTTATAAGGTGTTTTGATCAAATCCATGCCCACTCCCTCCCCTCCAACTCCTTTCATATCTCTCCATCACTTTTTTTCTGATAACTTTATGTACTCTTTCTCTTTTTATTTATTTATTTTTATGGGTTTTTTTTTGGCTACTACAACATTCCCCCTCTGAAGAGGTAACCCTAAAATCTTTCAAGGATTAGATACAAGCTCCCAAATACTTTCAACATTTTTGTCCTTTGGAACAGAGTATGTTGTGAAGAGGTCCAAGGACATTGTGAGTTTTAGCCAAGAAACTGGCTACTTTTCTTTGGGGTCTTTTAACCCTAACTGCCTAGCTAATTCCTACCTCCTACTCTTATCACACCATCCTCTGAAGAGGTTACCCAACTTGCAGATAGGGAACCTGGATAGAGACCATTCTGGCTTCTTCCATGCTGAACAGGGACCCAGGGTAGGCAATTGGGGTACCTCCTCAGTGGGTCTATCTAAAAGACTCCCAAATTGCCTAACTCTTATCTGTAAGGAGAAAAGAAAGTCCTTGACTGATAGGGGATGTGAAGGAGAAGTAAAGACAAGAGTAGTTAGCATTACATGCTCTAGATAGGGAACCAGAAAAAAAGTCAGAACTGGGCAAATTTCAAATGTTCATATCAGAGTTCATTGGGATTTCTTGAGAGAGCTTCTAAAAGCATCCCTCTATTGGGTTCCTTCTCATTTCTGTTTTGTCGGCCAAGGCTGCACCCTGCTTGGCCCTCCTTTAATGAACAAGCACAACTATCAATAAGCCCAATTGTAACGATGTTTAGCAACAGGCACAGCTGAAGTCATGATGATGGTAGTTATTTCACACAAACAGACTGCTGTACAGCATCATCTTATTAAAAGGACATGGAATTTAAAAGGATTTGGTGTTAGGATCCACATATGAGGGAGAACATATGTTGTTTATTTTTCTAAGTCTGTGTTACTTCACTTAGTTTCTAGGTCCATCCATTTACCTGAAAATTTCATTATTTCATCTTTACTTACTGCTGAATAGAACTCCATTGTGTAAATGTACCACATTTTTGTTAACTACTCGTCAGTTGAGGGACACTTAGGTTGCTTCCATTTCTTAGCTATTGTGAAAAGAGCAGCAACAAACATGGTTATTCAAGTGTCTCTACAATAGGATAAATCCTTCGGGTATATGCCAAGGAGTGGTATAACCAGGTCATATGATAGGTTCATTTTTAATTTTTTAAGAGTTCTCCATAGTTTTCCATAAAGGTTGCACAAGTCTGCAATCCCACCAGCAGTGAATGACATTTCCCCTTTCTCCACATCTTCGCCAGCATTTGGTATCATTTGTTCTCTTGATCTTAGCCAGTCTGATTGGGGTAAGGTGATACCTAATTGCATTTCCCTAATTACTAAGGATTTTGAACACTTTTTGAGATGTTTCTTAGCCATCTTTATTGCTTCCTTTGAGAATGCTCTGTTGAGATCTTTAGCCCATCTTTTCATTGGGTCATTTTGTTTCTCAATTCTTTGTTTTTTGAGTTCTTTATATATTCTGGATGTTAAACCTCTGTCAGATGTGTCACTGGAGAAGATTTTTTTCACATTTTGTGGCTTTTCTCTTCACGTTTTTTACTGTTTTTTGTTTGTTTGTTTTCTATTTTTGATTGTTTCTTTTGCTGTACAGAAGCTTCTTAGTTTAATGAGGTCCCACTTGTTGATTGCTGACCTTAATTCCTGAGCAACTTCTGTCTGATTTAGAAAATCTTTTCCCACACCTACATCTTGTAAGTTACTGCCAGTATTTTCTTCTAATTGTTTCATGGTGTCCAGTTTCACACTGAGGTCTTTGGTCCATCTGGAGTTTACTTTTTGTGCAAGGTGAAAGATAAGGATCTAGTTTCATTCTTCTAAAGTTTTGCCAGCACCATTCGTTGATGATTCTCTTTCCTCCATTGTGTGTTCTTGGTACCTTTGTCAAATATCAGGTGTGTGTACTAGGGTTTGAGTCTTCAGTGATGTTCCATTAATCTATGTGTCTATTTCTGTGCCAGTACCATGCTGTTTTTATGACTATAGCTCTGTATTAAACTTTGAGATCTGGTATAGTAATCCCCCTAGAGTTGCTCTTAGTGCTCAGGGTTGCTTTGGCTATCCAGGGTCTTTTGTGCTTCCATATAAATTTAAGAATTTTTTTTCTAATTCTGCAAAGTATGTAGTTGGGATTCCAATGGGTTTGCATTGAACCTATATATTGATTTTTGGTAGAGATGGTCATTTTCACAATATTAATTCTTTTAATCCAGGAGCATGGGAGGTTCTTCCATCTCCTGTGTCTTCCTCAGTATCTTTGTTTAATGATTTAAAATTCTCACTGTAGAGATTTTTGGTGTCTTTAGTCAGATACTTTTTTTTTTTGTAGCAATTGTGAACGGGAGCATTTCCCTGTGTTCTTTCTCAAATTGCTTGTTACTGGTATATAGGAAGTCTACTGATTTTTGTAGATTGATTTTATAACCTTCCACTATACTGAAAGTGTTGATCAGTTCTAGGAGTTCTCTGGTGGAACTTTTGGGATCTCTTAGGTATAGTATCATGTCATCTGCAAAAATGTGATAGGTTGACCTCTTCTTTTCCAATTAGTCCTGCTTTATTTTCCTTCTCCTGTATTATTGCTCTAGGAAGAGTTTCAAGCACTATGTTGAAAAAGAGTGGAAATAGTGGACATCCTTGTCAGGTTCATGATTGTAATGGGAATGTTTCCAGTTTTATGCCATTTAGAATGATGTTGGCTGTGGGTTTGTTGTATATAGCTTTAATTATGTTGAGGTATGTTCCCTCCAGTCTAATTCCTTCTAGGACTTCGAATATAAATGCATTACTGTTTCAATTTCCTCATATGTTATGGGTCTGTTTAAACTGTTGATCTCTTCTTGGTTTAACTTTGGTGGTTCCCATGATTTTACATATCGATCCATTTCTTTTAGATTTTCAGATTTGGTAGTGTATAGGTTTTTAAAATATTCCCTTATAATGGTCTAAATCTTCTGCATGTCTGTTGTGATGTTTCCCCTTTCATCTCTGATTTTATTGATTTGAATTTGCTCTTTCTTTCTTTTGGTTAACTGGGCTAAGGGTCTGTCTATCTTGTTTAGCTTTTCAAAGAATCAGCTCTTAGTTTCATTGATTCTTTGTTTTGTTTTGTTTCTATTTCATTAATTTCTGCTCTGATTTTTATTTCTTCTCTTCGGCTGGGTTTGGGGTTTCATTTGTTCTTGCCTTTTCAGAATCTTGAGTTGCAGTGTTATGTCATTTATTTGGGTTCTTTCTATTTTTTAATGTAGACACATAGAGCTATAAACTTCGCTCTTAAGACTGCTTTTAAAGTGTCCCAGATGTTGTGTTGTATTGTCCTGTATTGTCCTTTTTGTTGACTTCCAGGAATTCTTTTATTTCTTCCTTAATTTCTCCTTTGACCCACTCATTCTTTAGAAATGTGTTGTTTAATCTCCATGAGTCTGTGTAGTGACTAGGGTTTTATCCAGTGTTGATTTTGAGCATTGTGGTCAGCTAGAATGCATGGGATCATTTCAAATTTTTTAATTTGTTGAGGTTTATTTTATGGCTCAGTATGTGGTAAATTCTTTAAAAAGTTCCATGCGTTGCTGAGTAGAAAGTGTTTTCTTTGGTGCTTGGGTGAATATTTGAAAGATGTCTGTTAGGTCCATCAGATGTATGGTATCATTTAATTCAGGGTCTCTCTGTTTATTCTTTGTCCAGTTGACCTGTCTAATGGAGACAGTGGGGTATTGAAATCCCCTACTATTACTGAGATGGGGTTAATCTTTGTCTTAAAGTCCTCCAGTGTTGTTTTTATGAATTTGGGTGCACCAGAGCTTGGTGCACATATATAAAGGATTAAAA